TAAGAACCCGAATAATAAATGCTTATCTCGCTAACTATCGGTCTTTTCATTAAAGAAACACAAGTTCTGATAAGTCGAGCCTTAGCTCTTGGTTTACCGTTTCCATTGCTGTTATTATTGCGTTGAATTCCTCTCCCAATCCAGTTAAGAGGTAGCTGATTTTTTCATTTTCTGCAATTTTCTCTCCTGACACTTCTAATTCTCTTATAAGATTGTCGAAATTGGCGAAATATTCTTCTAATTTTCCTGTATGTTTCAAAGTCAATAACTTTCTTCTTAGGCATATTTTTGATATGACCGTGTTTCGTTGGAATGTGTTTTTCAAAACTTCTAACATTTCTTTCGCGCTTGTGCTTTCTTTTATCAGGTTTAAGTGTTGGTCTGTCACGCTTTGGACGATGATACTTCTCGCTTTTGCATCCATGAGTTTCATCTTCTCATCACAGTCTACTATTTTCTTTATATCCAAAACTTCTGTTAGACCTTTTTCTGCGAGTATGCATTTTATCCTGAAAACCCAGTTGTCGTATGCCCCTGCACTCAATTGCGGTAGCGGCGTGTTACTACTTGACATCGCCATTTTTATATTTCACAAATCCGCTTTTTCCCGAATAATCTACAATTAAAACTTTCCCTAACTCTAACTAACGGGCGTCTGGGCCCATAACCTATCAGAACTTGTGTTTCTTTAATGAAAAGACCGATAGTTAGCGAGATAAGCATTTATTATTCGGGTTCTTACACAGACACATCTTGTTCGTACATAGCCGGAAGAGGGAAGAACGTTCTACCGGAAACAGTTAACTTTTTAATATTTAATACACTTCCAAAGATAATATAATCCTAACATATTCAACGCTGTGCGTACGATTTGCCTTCACTTAAGCAAGCATCGTTTGTGAATACGAGAATAAGTACGGAATCTTTCAACTAAGAACAGACTTGTACTTGACCAATTTTGTACGTTTACCTTGTGTTGAACACAAACTTGTTGGCCACAAGTAAGTAGGTAGGTACTTGTACCTTCTTGCGTAAAAAACTAAAGAGTAAGCCATATTGATGTTACACAACGAGTAATACCGACTGCAAAAAAGAGGTTATAGTGATCAGATTATTAATATTGTATTCAATGTTTTAATCGTTTTGTAATCTTTGAATTTTAAATTAAATCGCCCTTACGATACAGTTGTGAAATATCTATAGAAATAATTTATTTCTTAGTACATTAATACTAACTTAATGTCATTATTCATGTTCCATTAATAATTTTCAACCGCCTTAAAAATAATAAGGTTATACATTTTGTTTTGTTAGAATCAACTACTAACTACGCAATGTTTAGTGTAAAGCCAGACATAATTATGGTATATTCTTGTACAAATAATCAAATCAAATCATTTTTATAAGGCGTTACAGGATTTTTAGTATCTCCATCTTCCACCTTTTAGCTACATTCATATCGCTGGCATTTCCTCAATTTCCCTTTCATTGTTTACGACAGAATATCTTTTGTCGAATTTTAGCAGAATTCCGGAATATAACTACTAGTTTATTTTCAACTAGCGACCCGCCCCAGCTTCACACGGGTGTTAAGTATAACATATAAACATTCCTCTTGAATCACTTCACCTATTAAAAAAACCGCATCAAAATCCGTTGCGTAGTTTTAAAGATCTAATACATAGGGACAGACAGCGAAAAGTGTCTTTATTTTATACTTTTTTTTCTTTTTTTTTATCCACAACGAGGAACTCTTGGCCTGTATCTCTCCTGATGGTAAGTGACGATCAGGCCGAAGGTGGAAGCGAGCTTCACCCGGAATCCTCAACCACGGAGGAACTGGCTATCTTACCTCTATGTAATGTAGTTACTTGATATTAATTAATATTCCTCCATTCATAAACAATTAGAGAGGGTCGTGTTCCTGCATTGGAGACTAAATGAACTGATGATGATGATTTAAAAAGACATTAGTCAATTACTTATTTCATAGTCTCAAAATCCTGAATCAATTCTCAGACAGTGTCATCGTTAATGATTATTTAGTTAATTGCTATGTAATTTAGTTAAATACTTTCTTTTTATTTCATTACGAAATTTTATTAGTTACAACACTAACTAGTCAGTAATTTCGCTTTCCAGTTGTAAATAATGTAATTATTTAATATTTGAGCCCGGATACATTATCTTATTTTATTTTTTACAACTACAATAAATATTAACTAGTTACATATTAATATGAAATGAAAATTATTTTAAGTAGACTTAGCACAAAACACAAGAGTCAAATCTTGGTCAAAATTAAATTAAATCATTTCATCCCAACATATACTGAGAAAGAATTAATTCAAATTCATTTGTTTTGCAAGTAAGCTTTTAAAAATCACTGTTACACGTCCCAGTATTAACCCTACCACTGCTTCGGGACAATAAATGGGCCAGTGCTGAGAAGGCAGCTCAAGAAACCCAGTCACAATTTTATTGTCAGCCTCTTTTTCAAGGGCTTAAAAAGCTTCTTCTTTTCGAAACAACATATGGGCTGGTGCGGCATTGTTTACCGGTTTAATGCTGCTCAAATAATGCACGGTCATTTATTACATAATGGTCAATAGAACGAAGAAAGTGTGTCAAATTCAGAGAGCACTGTCATTTATAAAGGTCCCCGCAGACTTTATTGGCTGATAGAACAAAATACTGGTTTGGTCTGCTTACAATTTGTATGAGGATGAGGAATCTTATATCCTACTAATATTATAAATGCGAAAGTTTGGATTTCTGGATGTTTGTTACTCTTTCATGCAAAAAGTACTGAACGGATTTTATTGAAACTTCAGTATTATTGTTTATAACCCAGAACAACATTATAGGCTACTAGCTATCCGCCCGCGGCTTCGCCCGCGTGGAATTTTGTATGACACAGAAAAACTTTATCGCGCGCGTCCCTGTTTCAAAAACCGGGATAAAAACTATCCTATGTCCTTTCCCGGGACTCAAACTATCTCTATGCCAAATTTCATCAAAATCGGTTCAGTGGTTTAGGCGTGAAAGAGAGACAGACAGACAGACTAGACAGAGTTACTTTCGCATTTATAATATTAGTATGGATAATTTATGACGATATGTGACAAACTAAATTTCACGCGTACGAAGTCGCCAGCACAGCTAGTTGTTTATAAATTTGTTTATTCCAGACATTTGCAATACAAAAACACACTGAATTTGCTAGGATTTTTGACTTTTGAATATGTCACTGACTGCATGCTAAATTAAGTATCTTTTTCCAGTTTCTTTGACAAGAAAAACTACAAAATACAATTCGATGTAATGTAAAATTCAATGTAAGGAACTTCCCTTCCCAATACTGAAAAATCAATAGCAAATATTGAAAACTAACGCACGCGTAGACCCCGTTTTTACCCCCTTAGGAGTTGAATTTTGCAAAATACCGTCTTAGTGAGCACCTACGTTCTAAAAGGAACCCCCATGCAAAATTTGAGACTCCTAGCACTTGTAGTTTCAGATTTCGTGATGAGTCAGTCAGTCAGTGACAGTTTTATAAATATAGAAGATAGATAGTTAGATGTCAATAGAAAGAAAGAAAAAAAAGTTAATCTATATTTTTAATTAGTTTTGTATTTATGTAAGTCCCAATGTATTTGTCCCACATTGAAATTGAATCCAACACTTCTTTAAGAATCCAATTCTCTTACCACTGGACTTCTTAGCACTATTCGAAATTACTTTTTTATGTAATTGAGTTACGTTTTTAAATGACTTTTTTATATTATTTCTTTTACGAACTGGAATGTAGATTATGTATAACTAGTTTATACCTATCTATGGTAATTTATCTGTTTTCTATCAAATAACCTGTTTGGGGCTCACATAACTACTATCTTTTAGTAGTTAAGAAAAGTCTGATCAAAGTTCAGATAGCACCTTAAGCTAATCAAATAAAATCATTTATTTGCATTATAATCACTATGGCATCTTATTTATTTAGCGATTATACAATAAAAAATAAAAATTAGTGTCACCAACTTTTCTCCCGCGTGAAATTCAGTTGGGCACAGATCGTTATAAATTACAGCCTATATGTTATTCTGATGTATAAATAATATTACTGTAAAGTTTCATCAAAATCCGTTCAATAGTTCTTGCGTGAAAGAGTAACAAACACCTGAGGAACTTTCGCATTTACAATACTAGCTGTGCCCCGCGATGTTACCCGCAGTATGTAGCCTATGTATTAATCCAGGGTGTCAGCTAACTCCATACCAAATTTTATTAAAATCGCACCAGCCGTTTAGACGTGAAGAGGTAACAAACATACACACTTACGAATTTTCGCATTTATAATATTGGGTTAAGCGACACCAAACATTCAACATTCAGAACATTATTTTGTTCAATTGAATTGAAATTAAACAATTGAATGAGCAAAATCGTTGTCATTCAAAAACAACGCATTCATAACTTACAATATTTAAACGAACGGCAACTTAAAGACTCCAAAGATTTAAAAAGTTATTTCGCTTCTTAAAACCTCTTTAGTTTTGCTATTAAGTTAAGTTTCTTGAAGAGGGGGCAAGTAGGTCACTTAATGGAGAGTGAAACTGCATAGCATGCCTTGTCAAAAACCTGTAAGTATTATGTTAAAAACCTCTATGTTATACTTGACAGGGCAAGCTCTATTTGGGACGTGTTTAGGTGCCCTGAAAAGGGTCTAACTTTATAAGTCTTAATGAGAAATAAGACCAACACATAACAGCTTGCAAAATCATTTTAGAAACCAATTTTATTGAAAAAGAACGACTATTCCTTCTCCTATGTCACTGATATCGATCTAGAAGTAATTAAACAAGACCTGAGCGAAACTTTTAGCACTTATAACACCTTAAGCTGCACTAAAACTACCACACTTGACCGACTCGATTCCGGAAGCGTACATGCACTCACGTCTACTTAAAATATTCTTAAAACTAAAATCAAAAACTTACACCACTTCCTTAGAAACGCGCTGGTGAGCTTCGCGCATAATTTATCCCGGCCTTGCATTTTGATAGTTTAATATAAAACACTGTAATTTATCGACACTACACTGACATTTCACTGCACTTCACTAAATCCATACGTCCGTTCGTGGCGGCGGTCGGGCGGCGACTGGTTTGGAGCGATTCTTGGCTGCGCGCGCGCTGTAAAGAAAGAATAGTTTAGTATAGTTTAAGCTGAGGATTTTGAACTGTGAGTCAAGCTTATAGGTCCCGTAATTACAAATTGATAGTAGGTAATTAATGTACGAACTATTTAGTGAAATAGACGGTATTGTGATGGTAATTTTAAATGTATTCCAATTAATATTAACACGGGGACAAAAACAGTATAGGCGACCAATTTTTCGCAAGATTCTAGTGGGACGGTAGCTTTCATTCATATTAATGTAAGGAATTAATGATATACCCTTCAAAAATAATGATAATGTAGGTAGGATCAATTTTCTAATACTCAAAAAAGTGCTATAAGATTTAAGTTGTACAAAGTATGTATTCTTCTGGACAAAGGCCTCCCCCAAAGATTTCCCAAGGCCTTTGTCCAGCAGTGGACGTCTTTAGGCTGAAACAAACGAAGTATGCATTCTTAAACGTCATAAATTCTGAAAATTGGCTTTTTACAGCTCTTTTAAAGCTTCTTGAACCACTTTCCACTTTTTTAACCCTACCACTGCTACAGGACAATAAATGTTTTAGTTAAATATGTAATTTTATTTTATTTATGAACTATTAGCTGACCCGGCGAACTTCGTACCGCCTATATGACATGTATTTATCAGAAATAATGTAGAATTCTAATAAGTAGTGCAACAATTTTCAAATTGGTCGGCCGTTAAGTGTAGTGGTTCAGAACGGACTACTACGCCGAGAGGTCCCGGGTTCGATTGCCGGCCGGGCAGAAATTGAAATGATGAATTTTAATTTCTGTGACGGGTCTGGGTGTTTTCTATGTATAATATGTATGTATTAAAAAAAAAGTATTTAAGTATGTTTATATCCGTTGTCTAGTACCCATAGTACAAGCTTTGCTTAGTTTGGGACTAGAAGCGTAGTGTAAAATGTCCAAGGATATTTATTTATTTTTTTAATTTTGGAGACTATTCAATATCAACAAAGAATCAAAAAATCTTTCCTCTTTAAAATATTAGGGTAGAAATCTAGGCAGTTTTCATGTCAACAGGGAAGTTTAAAAAACAACGTGTTTTTTAGCATTTTTAGACAAATTGAAAGTCCAAAAACATCGTAAAACTAACTAATTATTCTCTTGTTTGGTATAATTTATGATTTGCTATACAAAACAATTAATAAAAGACACGTGCAATAAATACATTGGTATACTTACATGGTCATGTTTTATACTAGTACCTAATTAAAAGTTTGATGAGACTTTTTTATCCTACCAATATTATAAATGCGAAAGTTTGGATGTCTGGATGTTTGTTACTCTTCCACGCAAAAACTACTTAACGGATTTTAATGAAACTTTACAGTATTATTGTTTATAACCGAGAATAACACATAGGCTATAATTTATGACGATTATGTGACAAACTAAATTTCACGCGGGTGAAGCCGCGGGCAAAAGCTAGTATTTTCTAATTAAATGGGGCACACTGAAAACCAGCGCCGTGGCCTTTGTCACCGTGGGCCACGGCATATGCTGAGTGGGGTCCCGTTGCAGTGGGCATCTTGTTGGTGAATGGCTGGCACTGCTCAGTTTACTCGTTTTTATTTTTTCTTCTTCCATTATTATGTGCCACTGTCATGTCTATGTATTTGTGTGATGTCCATTGTAATAAATGTATCTTTCTTTCTTTCTAATTAGTTATATCATCTAGAAACAATGGGATGACAGTGTAAAATAATATAAAAACAGAGTTATCGATACAAATACCATCATCATGACATTTAGTTTGTCACAGATCGTCATAAATTATAATTATGTTATTCTGGGTTATAAAGAATAATACTGTAAAGTTTCATCAAAATCTTTTTGCGTGAAAGAGTAACAAACATCCAGACATCCATTCAAAGTGTCACATTTATAATATTAGTAGGATGCCAAATCAATATCTTGCTTATCCCATCTTTTGTCATTGCTCTTTTTTTTAAAGTAAATACATCGTAAAGATTCGATTAAAAACAAACTACTCGATTCTAAACGATTGCGTTCGTTCATCGATTTTTGTTAAAGGTTTTATTTGACCTCCAAGGGCGTTGTATCTGTAGGTCAAATACAGGTTGATGAAGCAACTGGTTGGTCAAATAGTACCTACTTAGTTGTAGGCAAAGGTCAAGTCACTACAAGTTGTTGGTTTGACACCGGTCAGGTGCAATAAATAGATAGCTTAATAGGCTAGTTTCTTAAAAAAAATTTTTTAGTCCGTCATGTTTAATATCAAAAAAATATTGGACACGTATATTTTTATTTGTCAATCTAACAAATAATTACATTCGCGACGTCACAACGTGCGGCACTTTTATGCACGCATTGACGTCACGGGCCTCTTCTTATGAACTTTGGCGCGCTTTATCTCTTTAAATTTTCATTAGTTTGAAAAAGTGAAAAATACGCGTAGAGTATTTTTTGATAAGTTAACTGACGGACTAATTAAAACTCTTGCTTTTTGACCCAGGAAACATCCCTATTACTTCCACCTTCGGCCTTATCATCACTTACCATTAGGTGAGATACAGGCCAAAAGCCTCGTTGTGGATAAAAAAAAGATTAAAAAGTTTTAGGTCTTGAAATAAATAAATAAAGGAGTCTTCTTATTCTTATTCTATTCTTATTCTTCCAGCGACTTGGCCCACTTGTAACTTGGTCCACGGGCCAAGTGCTGGATTGATTGTTTAAACATTTTTTCTTTCTGCAACCGGGCCCATCGTCAATGGTTTAGTAATGAATGAAATACCAAATCAACAAAAATCTACTCTAGAATCTTAGGGCCCAGTTGCTGGAAGAAAAAATATTTAAAACTTGTCTACTCACGGACATTGCCCGCGGGCGGCGTGACCGGAGGGAGCGGCGAGCGTTCGGCGAACGAACGAGCAATGTTCGGTTCGCGAGCGAACATCGAAGAAGACGATCCTGACGCACTCTCTTCAACGACTTTGCACTAAACGGTCTCGATAATCTTGTAAATTTATACCGAATAGACAATTATTTTCATACAGTCCACTCTTTTCATTTATTAACTACCACTACACTCACTATCGAAGACTCCTCTAATGTAGACATCCTATAAACAACTTGAATTTAGATTCTGTTACTCTCATTTTTGTCACAAAATCTTCATTATCAATTCAGAATAAGTCTTTTAAACTAAATTAACTTTAACACTAACTACACTAGCGTGTCGTCCGCCATTTTCCGCGACATTATTGCGTATTGATTTATAATAACCGACATTGTAAACAAAGTCGTAAATAAAACCGTGAAATCGCTTACTGAGCTGATTTCATACAATAACACAAATCAGCTGTTACATTATTATGGTATACAAACATACAATACATCGATAATCTTCTTTCCTTTACCTATTTGTGCCCGCGTGAAAATAGTTGTGAAGCCGTGTGGTGACGGCAGAGTAGAATACATTTGTCACCAACCCCTACTCTTCCCACGGGTGTCGTAAGAGGCGACTTAGGGACTACACATCAAACAGAGAATGGGCAGCAGCGCTCTCTGAAAAACATCAATCTTTTAAACTGCGATCTCCAACCCGCCTGCCAAGCGTGGAGATTATGGTAAAACCCTCCACTATAGTGGAGGAGGCTCATAGTCCAGCAGTGGACTGTAAAGGGCTGTTGATGATTGATGATTGTGAAAATAGTTTGAATAATGTTTCCCGTTTTTGCAACATTTTTCTTTACTGCTCCGCCCCTATTGGCTGTAGGGTGATGTTATATAGCCTAAAGCCTTCCTCGATAAATGGGCTATCCAACACAAAATCATTTTTTCAAATCGGACTAGTAGTTCCTGAGATTAGCGCGTTCAAGCAAACAAACTCTTCAGCTTTATAATATTAGTATTAATGCGAGAATAAATCGGTTACATATGCTTAAAACTACTGAAACATACTTAATGAAAGATATAGAGATAGTTTAAGGTCCGGGGAAAAGCAGGATAGTTTTTTTCCCCGTTTTTTATAGAACACGCGCGTGTTGAAGTCTTTCTGTGACAGACTAAAATTCATGAGGGCAAAGCCCTGGGCAAATGTTTACTGTACTTAAAGTACAAAAAAATCATAGTTACTATCTTGGATTTGTTAATAATAAATAGTCTTTAAAAATACCTTTTAAAGCACTAAACACAAAACAGACAAATAAAAGAAGTACTTTGAAAATCAAACGGCACAATTTTTAAGCATTATGAATATGCATTTTACTTGACTCTTGGTCGCCATAATATACGTATTATGTTATTTTTTATTCAAAAATTCCACAGATCTTGAACTCTTTAGAGTCAAAGTCAAAACAGTGTTGTAACAACTCAGTATGCTGTTCCTTTTAGAAAATAATTTAGTTTTTTTTTTTTTTTAGTAAAGCCAGGTTGATATCTTTGCATTAAAATCTAGTTTTTAACCGACTGCACCAGAAGGAGGGTTATGTTTTTCGCTGCGTCTTTAACTATCTCATAAACTCAATCGGTTCAGTGCAGTGGTTTAAATGAAAAGGTACAGACAGACAAAAAGAGTTACTTTCTAATTAATAATCGAGTTAATAAGTAAGTAGTATAATTTCGGATGTATTAAATTTCATGACACTTTAGTTAATTGTCAGCACTTTACACCCTGTATCTTAAGAAATGCCAAGATTAATGTACTTTTTAATTTTATTACATCCTCGATGACGATTTACCGTGTGATCTTTGTAAAGATCAAGGAGTATAGCATCTTTCAGCGAGTTCCGCATAATTATGCCATATTTGGGGAAATTTTATCAGACTTTCATTTAGCTCGTAAAAAGGTTGTTATAGTCTCCGGTCTTCCGCACTGTAAGGATACAATTATACATGGATGTACCCAGCTTCTGACCTAGGGGAGGGGGCAAGTCATACCCAGCTTCTAGATTAGGCAATTTATTACACCGATCTTGCGACAAGGAAAATTTTCCGTGCTTTTAAGCGATTTTGTGAAAAA